ACAACACCACACTTACTGGTGGTTTAGATTGTTTGTTGTTTTTTTACTAGGCCATAGCAAGAAAGCTATGACTCATGAGTGGAAAACTCACTGAAGTAATCTAGTAATGTCAAGAGTAATGTAATGATTGCCTTGCAATAAACCTACCACGCGTGTTAACAGTGAATCACACGTTATATAGTTACTGTAGTACTCATAGGTCAATACGGTTCGTGAATATATATATACAAATAATAAAGATGCAGATGCACATACCGGTTTTTAACCGTGATATGGCATGCAATATAACTCTTTCATTAAATTGTACACGACAAGGGTTGATGTTCTGGGGGTTGTCACTCGGTGTGCATTGCCGGTCGTTTAGCGTCACGAACGACACTTTGACAGGCGATGATCGCGTGTGCTGGGTGGGCCCGTATAACCATGATCCTCTAACAGGATGATAGTTCTGATAGAATGTCATGAATTTACATGTTCTTGCTCTTGTCACAGAATTGGAGTTATTGTAGCATAACTTTGCCTCCTCCTCGCGTCACTCTGCGTCGGCCATTTTGATGGCAAAACGTGCCTCGGATGTTATGCGGGTGTCGAAGAAGCACGCCGGCAGCACGAAAGCGTGTATGGCTGTAGATTATTAAAACGGTGATATTAGATCCATCGTGTTGGTCAGTGTATACTCGATACTGATAACCGCATATTAATAAGAAATAACACCGCATGCTGTCCTAAACAACTTGCGTGAAATTATGGCAGAAACAACATTTGTTTGATCACTGGTGCGGTAAAGGAGGAGAAGAACTTTACGCTTGGAAGGTCTGGATAGTCATAATGGCGACGCCCATGTGATTAGTTGCCAACAACACAAGCGGTTTGGAAATTATATATTATATGCATATACTCGCAATCAGTTAATCTATTTTGCAGATGAGAGTTTTAGGCAGTGTTGCGGTATTACACTTTAGCCTATGTCTCGAATTCCCTAACTGCGCAGGCGATATATTATATCATACGGACTCTCTCAGGCCGTATCACGTCAGGAAATTTTCTGTAGGGTGCAAAGCCGCAAGTCACCTTCTTTATTTCTTTTATTGAAAGTGAATATTTCTTGATATTTAAGATAACTTTTGTCACATTTCTAGTTTCATTTCTAAAAGTGTGCAGTATTTTCCCATTAAGAGAGCACAGCTCTGAAAATCCTCTTAGCCTAGGGTAACCCCGACTCAGGCTTGTGTGACTAACGTCAATACACCGCCTGACATCCATCCATTGAAAATCTTGTAGCTGTACAAAAACTACGAACAATTACGTATATCTCAAATAAATGATCATCTAAGCATTTCGTGCCTTGTTTTGTATCAAATATAACCTTCACTTATAGTATTCCAGCGTTGTTATTAAAACTAATACCCAGTTTGCTGTGCAACAGTGTAAATTTCAAGAGCCAAAACGAAATTTCAACTAACCGCCAACCGCCATGTTGGAATGCGCATGATTTCGAACGGCACGCGGAAAACCCGAAACGACATAACATACCATAGCGTTGCTACTTGCCGTTGGCCACAGAGCATAAAAAAGCATCATATACTCGTATATATATAAATATTAAAACATTGAAACCAGGAATCGTCAATCTACAACAACTTAAGTAATTATCATTGCGAAGATATGTACTTGCGTTGTATTGGCCTACTGCACTGTGGAAATCAGGTCCATTGCGATTTTAGTGCACTGAACATGGCAGACATGGCGGCTATCTGGTTGTTTGATCCAATTCATCTCAGAAAAACGGCCAATACTCAATAAATAAGTAGCGCCAGTAGCGCCCAGTTACCGCGAGCAAGCCAGAGGTTTATTGATTCGTTGAGCTATTACATGTGACGCTAGCTGTGTCGATGGTTGGATACCGAGCCAACTACAAGAATTGTGGGCAAGAATCTGAAACGGTATCTAACCCTAGCAATACCGTTTCCTGGAGCAGCTAGGGGGCAACTTGCCCCTGTCCTAGATATAATATTAATCAATGTAACCAAACCCAAGAGGATAAGGGTTACAGAGTGTCCCTATCGCTTTTATTGCGGAGATGCCGAGTGATCATCGGACGGTTTGGCTGGCTGCGAGTCTTCGGATACTAAACTTCCAAACTGGCGTTTATTCTAAAATGAACCTGTTGCCCGTATCTTGAGAGACTTACATGTATACGCAAGAGTACTACTGTTATTTAAACTAATATAATGTTTACAAAAATTCGAAGGGACGAGCGGCAGAATATACTGAGCACCATTTCCTGTTGACACTGTGCGACGCATTTCCCAATGCGGCATAGGCGAACGGCAAAACGCAGCGACGCCTCCGGATTGGTCGTGAATCCGGCTCTTCAAACCGAAGTACGTCACAGGTCAACAGACAAATGGCGGCTCAGTATATTCGCCCGCTCGTCAACTTCGAATTTTCTTGAACAGTTATTATTAGTTTATACAGAGTTATTGGCGATACATAGATAAGTTCTCCAGATAGCGGGGAGAAAGTTCATGTTAGAATAAACCAGTTTGGAAGTTCTAGTATCGAAAACGCACCGAGCAAAACGCGCCGAGTGATTCACTCGGCACTTTCCTCCACATACAAGGATAGGGACACTTTGTAACCGCTATCCTTCTTGGTTTGGGTTACATTATTGTATCTACCCCTGGCCCTGCTCTGTTGCCCCCCTGGCACTGCTGCGTACGGCCCTGCAGGATACGGTGGTAGGAGTGTACTGCAGTGCTAGTACTTAGTAGTAGTACAGACACACTGGCGTATCATGTACGTGGTGACTGATGTTTCTGATTATTTCAAGAATGTCGCAAGTGGCATTGCATATATTAAAATCACTGCAGCAAGACAAAGTTGGGCACCTTGCAGCTACACGGCACCACAACGCGGCATTGCCCCTCATATACTTACTACACCACGACATTAGTGGCCTAACATCGCCGGCCGCACGGACCACAACTCACCGTTTCATCATTTACAATCCGGCTGTTCCTTGCCAGGTGACGCCACTTCATCCCACTACTACGTTGAATCCGGCGGAACCCAAAACTGCCCTGAACAAGCTACATTCCGCCATCTTTTGACAATCCGGCCTGCGAATGTGGCTCGAAATCACAGAAATTCTCCAATATCCATGCGAAATGATCCTTCGAATGCTACCTATGAAGGAAGGCTCGGTAGGGGCCGGCGCGCTGATTGGCTGGCGGCAGTTTATGTGGCAGACAGGCTGCGAAGCGTACTATGCAACTGACTTGCTGGCAGTTGCTGCAGCCAATCAGCGCAGCCGGCCCTGCCGCCTTCTTCATAGGTAGCATTCGAAGGATCATTTCGCATGGATTTGAGCGCATTCTGGCGGGCCGATTGTAGCTTGGGTGTAGCTTGTTCAGCAGTCTTCCGCGATTCCAACGATAGTTGGAAAGTGGCGTCACCAGCAGGAACACCGGAGTTGTAACTGATTGAAAACGGTGAGTTGTGGAAACTGCGGCGGCGAGTTAGGCACCATGTTGTTATATATAGTCAATGGCCGCGTGTGTGCTGTAGCTGCAGGTGCCGACTTGTTCTTGCTGCCAGTGATTAAAATACAGGTGTAGTCACAAGGCTACAGATTGACAGGCTGATCCGTTCCAATTGACTGTTGTCAATGCAGTGCTACCTTCCTTGTTAAAGTTGTTTATCAACAATTGAGTTAACAATTCCTTTTTAATTTTACACAGCAACAAGTCAATTAATAACGCCATGGTAACGTGGCAATTCTAGTAGGGGAAGCACAGAATCATGCGTACCATATGATCTAATTCCAGTGCCAAGCTGAGCATGATTATGCCCTTAGCATGCACGTGAAAATGCATGGTACAGAAACCTCTGTTACACCCACTTTGGGAGTTTGAGTCAATTGAGAACCTCAACGACAGCAACAAATGCAGAGGATTTTAACTTAAGCTTTTTATTAGTAACCAACTATGAAATTGGATAACCTAATATGACTGATACAAGGTATCGGTTTTTAGCTCACCTTGACATCGTCAAGCTGAGCTATTGCCATGGGTCCTCGTCTGTCGTACGTCCGTCTGTCCGTCCGTCTGTCCGTCCGTCCGTCAACATTTGGCTACGGTCAACGATAACTCAGGAACCGTTTGACCCACATGTTTGAAATTGGGTATAGTTGTTACTGCTATGCTCCCATATTAAACGTTCTATTTTGGAGCATGCCAGTCGACGTACATTCAAGCCACGGCAATTTTTTGCCAAAAATGGGAATTGCCATTAGTCAGTTCAGGTTCAATGGATTTTGCTCATTTTTGGTACTATGTGAATGAATAAGGGCTAGGGGTTTTGATATTTAAAAAAAAAATTATGCAAATTAGGTAGGGTTTGGCAATTATATAGCATATTATATAGACACGCAGATAACAAACAGTCTGTGGCGTCACACTCGTCTGGTTCGTTTTACAAGATTTCATTGGGTAATGCAAAATTCCTGCTACGAACATATTATGATTTATACTATTATTATTATATTATTATTATTATGATATAATGATTTATGCTACGGGACAGATTTGGTCGTTTTTTTTACGATGCGAAAGATACAAATTGGATCAGAATCGGATTGAGAACTGGAGAAATGGGACGAATTCGGCTGGAAACGGCTGAATCGGGACGCTTCCTGAACAATATCTGATTGTTGTCGTGATTAAATAAATGTTTTTACAAATTTTTAATAAAGTTTGAATTTCTCACCACGAATCACAGGATCTTGATCAGACTGTTGACAAATTTTAATCGGGAATGGTCCTATCAAGGACGGCAGTAAAAATCCCGAATGTGTGACTGGTGCCTTACATTATGTTAACAGAAATTACTCATTTCTTTTGTGCACACTTTTTCTCCTCAGTCTCCCTCTATCTCTTTTGCTAACTTCTGCATCTTTTGCTTTGTACCCTCAGCAATGGGCGTAAGAAAACAAGCATGTCCATGCACACGGAAAATGCGACAGAAAACCTCACCTCTTCATTAAACAGTTTACTAGTTTCCTTCCTAATTGGGTCTATAAGTTGCACTTGACCAGCAGAGAAGCCGACTAGAAGGTACGCGCATTCGCTAGTTGACGTCAGCTTGTTGAAGTCATGGCAGGTGGGTGACGTGCCCTTATACATGCGCTTGTCCACCGGCTTACTCACATCAGCTGCCTAAAATGGAATAGCAGAGAATTAGCATAACATGAGAAACATCACACAAATTACATCACACAAAGCGTTTTACGGAGAGGAAAAATTTCTCCAACGCTTGCAGGTGCTACATGCACCTCTCCAGGAGGAGTAGCACAACTTTTAGCATGCTGAAACAAGTGATAGATGTAGAGACCTAGAGTGGAAGAGCGTGAGACAATGGGTGAAAGAGGCAAACACACACGTATGCACACACGACATTCACACACGCACGCACACACGCACGCACACAATCACATGCACGCACGCACACACAGATAGATAGATAAAAAGAGAGGCAGAGAGAATGATAGAGAGATAGATAGATAAAGAGATAGAGATAGGGATAGAGAAAGGTATAGCGAGAGGGAAAGATGGTGGGAGCGACGGGAAGGGGAGGGGGAGAGAAGGGGGTAGAGAGAGGGTGGTGAGAAGTGGGAAGACTTTACAGCTTGCGCTCTAGGCATCTAGGGAATGCAGTCAACTTCTCAATTGAGCCCACCCACCCACTGAAAAACTGGTCAATATAAAATTTGCATAACTATATTAAAAACCTAATGCTTTAATTAAAATTAATTGGAAAGTAATCATGACTGTAAAAATTGCCATTTGTTGCACAATTTTCATTCTCAAAATACCACTGATCAATGCATCTTTGGGCAGACTATGCATCAGGGAATACTGGTCTGAATTAGTCCAGTAAGCTAAAAAATACTTTCCAAGCTGTATTCTGAAGCTCACCAGTAGTTTCATCGAAGCCACTACTATAAATTAGACAAACATTGCAGCCCATGGTAGCAATGAAATTACATTTTCAGCAGAGAATTCACATATTCATCTCGATCCATAGGTAAACAGAAACCTGCCATGTCAGCTGTTACAAAAGTGTCTTTTTGGTAAAAGCGTTATTGGCAAAGCATTTAAAAACACAATATATCACATTAGTTGCTTACATGCATTATTATGTATACCGGTACAGTGGCAATTTTCACACAACTGAAATTCAGCATTGAAAACTTGCACAGAGCAAACATTCATTTACAGGAAACGTTCAGATACTACACGTTATGGAAACGAAATTATTTTAATAGATAATGAGGACTGAAATATCAGTGGTTATCATTTTGCTATTAAACCACCCTTATCATAATATAGTAAGTAGTACATAAAGACATGAACTAATGTAGATGCAGCTCAAACATATAATGATTAGTTACATATAATTACATCAAAAAAACAAGTTGGTGCCTAAAGCCATAACTAAAGTATATGTGAATAATTCTATAAAACTACATCACTGGTGTTTCTCTATAATTTCAGAGACCCACAAACATTCATGGATCAAATACTTTCAAACCATACCTGCCAGTGGCATGAATAAATTCATACCAGTAGAGTATCAAAAAGCTTGACATGCCCTAACTGCCTAATCGACAAGCCTTAATTTCCAGCTCTGTATTTACTTTTGACAATCCCAACACAGTTATGCTGCTTTTACAACTGATCAAGTATTAGTGTATTGCATCCACTTATAACACCTATAATTAACTTTAACTTGTACAACCACCCACCAAGCCCCCACCACCACCCGTCAATAAATGACATACCTTATGAATTCCTGGGGGAGAATCCTGAGTAACTACCAAATAATCAGCACTAAACACAAACTGTAACCTAGCCTTGTGGTCACAATTGAAGACTGGTAATTGTTATTGAGTAACAGATTATTACTCAACTGAATGACAAATTACCTTAGTATAGCAATTATATTGTATAACTGAATAATAACCGATTTATGACTGAATAATAACCTGTGCGCCATAATGATTCCCACTTGTGTCATTTTACTCAACGCAAACCGCAAACGTCGTAACTATTACTCCTACATCGATGCATTGGTAATACAGCCAATCTAACCATAATATTAATAAGCACATTAAGTGACTGGAAGGTACTACATACAGATTAGTTATCGAGTAAATATGACTAGGGCCTACAAGAAGCTATGACTATGAGAAAACTCACTAAGTAATCTGTAATGTCAAGAGTAATGTAATGATTGCCTTGCAATAAACCACCGTGTTAACAGATGAATCACACTTATATAGTTACTTATACTCATAGGTCAATACGGTTCGTGAAATACATTATACAAATAATAAAGATGCAGATGCACATACCTTTTTTAAACCGTGATATGGCATGCAATATAACTCTTTCATTAGATTGTACACGACAAGGGTTTGATGTTCTGGGGGCTTGTCACTCGGTGTTGCATTTGCCGGGTCGTTTAACGTCACGAACGACACTTTGACAGGCATATTCCCTTGCTGCCCATAACCTATTCTACTAGGTCTTGAATATTCTGATAATGTCATTAATTTATAAGTTCCTTCTCTTGTCACAAATTGAGTTTTTAGATCATCTTTGCCTCCTCCCTCACTCTGCGTCGCCATTTTGTATGCCAAACTGCCCGGATGTTTATCGGGTGTCGAAAAGCACGGGCACACGAAAAATGGTTATGGCTGTAGATTATTAAAACGTGATGTTTAGACCATCGTGTGGTAGTGTATACTCATACTGAATACCATGTATATAAAAAAACACCATGCTGTCCTAACAACTTGCGTGAATATGGGAAAACTACAATTTGTTTATCACTTCTAAAACCGAGAAAACTTTACGCTTGGAAGTCTGGGATAGTCAAAATGGCGACTCCCATGTGATGTGTTGCCAACACAGCGGTTTTGGAAATTTATAATATTATATGGCATTACTCGCATAGTTATCTATTTTGCAGATGCAGATTTTTAGGCAGTGTTGCGGTATACACTTTAGCTATGTCTGAATTCCTAATGCAGCAGGCGTATATATACATACGGACCTCCAGGCCGTACGCAGGAAATTTTCTGTAGGGTGGCAAAGCCGCAAAGGTACTTCCTTTATTTCTTTATTTAAAGTGTAATATTTCTTTGATGATTTAAGATAACCTTTTGTCACATTTCTATTTTATTTCTAAAAGTGTGCAGTATTTTTCCCATTAAAAAGCACACTCTGAAAATCTCTAGCCTAGGGGGGCAACTGCCCCTGGCCTAGATATAATATTAATAATGTAACCCAAACCCAAGAGGATAGGGTTACAAAGTGTCCCTATCCTTTTATGCGGAGGAATGCCCGAGTGATTCACTCGGGCGGTTTGCTGGTGCGTTTTCAGATACTAGAACTTCCAAACTGGGTTTATTCTAAACATGAACCTTTCTCCGCTATCTGGGAACTTACCATGTATCGCAATACTC